TAACCAAGCACCACAGGCCAGGGCCTCAGCCAACAGGATTCATATCCTCACGGTCCTGGAGGCCGGACGTCCAAGATCAAGGTGCCGGTAGGTTGGGTTCTTGGGCAGCCTCTCTCCTTGGCGTGTGACGGCCATCGTCTCCCTGTGTCCTCGCGCGGTTGTCCCTCTGTGTGTGTCCGTGTCCTCATCTCTTCGTGTCAGGATGCCAGTCTGTCGGGTTAGGGACCGCCCAGAAGACCTCATTTTACCGTAATTAGCTCTTTAAAGACCCACCTCCAAACACAGTCACATTCTGAGGACGTCCTTTACAGATTCTGAGGGGATTAACATCCTTAGATGTCACGGTGGAGATAGAATGAAAAGATGGCTCCCCTCCCGTCTGGGACTTCCCCAGTCACCACCTGCTCTGATGGCATGGGCTTGTCACCGGGATGCGGAGGAGCCCCGTGAAGGCAAAGAGGGTGTCTGAAGTGCCCAGCATGGGTCACTGCAGGTCCACTTCCTGTGAGAAGGAACGTGGCATTCAGAGGAGCCTTGATTTGGTGCCGGGCCACGTGGGAGGCACAAGTTCAAGAGTGTGGGAGTTTGAGGAGAGCCGCCTGCCGGAGGATTGGGGGAGCCTGGGGATTCTGCACATTTTGTGTACGCGGCATAATCTGGAGTCTCTGATTTTCGTCAGCCCACTTGAAGGGGTGGAATTCTTTTCGCATGTGCCATCCTAGTCACGTGACTGCCCCTAGGGCCTTCCTAGTGAGGAAAAGACCCTGGTGTAGGAGGGAGAAGGGTCCCAGAGGGGCCTGTGAGGGGGCCAGGAGTGGAGGTGGTCGGCTCCCAGCACCGGGCCAGCTTTGGCCTGGCAGAGGGCAGTGCCTGGGGAGCCCCACGGGGTGTCAGGGACTCCCTGGGCTTGGGGGCCCAGCTCTGCCACCTCCCTGAGTCACAGCGTCCTCAGCTATCGTCTGGAAGGGGGGTGTCCACCTTGGCGGTGGTCATGAGGCCCTGCGGGACTGTGCTCTGCTCTCGTCACGCTGCCCTGTCGGCTGCTGGGAATTTGGCTCTGTCCATTCCCGCACTCGATGAGGATTCACTGCACACCAACGATGTGTGGATGCAGCCCTTGCCCTCAGCCCACAGGCTAGCGGCCAGAGAGAAAACCTACGCTTTAACAAAGAAATAAAGGAGTATGAAGAGCGATCGGTGTCACAAAGCAAAGAGGCAGGAAAGGCGAGGAGGGTGTGTGGGTGTTTCAGGAGCCATGCAAAGGTCCGGGGACCAGCAGTGACAGAGGAGTGTGGGGCCAGGAGGCACCTGGAGGCGTGGGCGGCTACTGCCCTCAGAAAACCACCCAGGGTGCATTGCAGCACCAGGCGAAGAACCACAGGAGGCTTGTCCTCCCAGGGCCGGGCAGCATCAAAGCCATTTGTTTTCTGACTTGGAGAGAAACAGTCCACGGGCGCCAACAATGATCTTTCAAACATACAGAGAGCTATTTGTTCCCAGGGGGAGGTCAACCATCTCGGCTCCTCTGAGATGAGAGAAGGCTGGAATGTCACAACGTGACATAATACATGACTTCCTGTTCGAAGCAGAATCTGAGGGCTGTGTGTCACCTTGCCCTGGACCCAGGAGTCAGATGGTGGGGGTGGAGAGGGGGGCCCTCCAGACTCTAATTCCCCAAAAGGAACCTTTCTGAACACCGGTCCCGTCTTCTGCAAACTACAAGCAAAAGTGCTGCTCACTGTTCGTTGACTCTTACATAAAGACCCAAAAGGAAAATGGTTAGAACTCAGCACCAGAAAGAACCTTGTCCTTTGTCTGATTAAGTGGTCACAAAACAAGAACTGTATAAAAGATCATAATTCAATTTTTACTTTGGTTGCCAGGAAACTCAGGGTCAAGTTTAGGTGTACGAATTATATCACTCCAGGTTTCTGGTACGAGTATTCTTCCCTGTCTCAACTGTTTCCTTAAAAAAAAATAAAATAAAATAACTTTTCACCAAACACATCTCTTATTTAGTTCCCTTTTGATCTTTAGCTACATGAATGCAGCTTTTACAGTCATGATTGCTATGCGAACCTCTACGCTCACAATTTTGTTTTCTATTTTTTTTTTTTTTACATAATATTAGTTCGCAAAGGTCATATTTCTACTCAGGCCTCTTATTTGGCTGTTTTGACAATGGCACAATATTCTGTTCAATCATTAAATAGAGCCGCACCCAACCGAAAATACCATAAGTAGCCATTGTTGGACATGGCATTTTTTTCCAGATTTTCACTGTAATAAAACAATTCTGCTCTTACAAAAAAAAAAAATAAGTAAAGGTTATGAAAGAAGTCACAAAAAAAGAAATACAAACGTCTAGTAAGCACACAGGAAGCGTTCAACCCCTGTGATGATTAAAGACATACATTGGAGCGGCAGGACGCCCGGGGAACTAGCCCAGATGAAACAAAGATGTTGCTCAAAGCTGGGGAGGAGGAGGGACCCACGGCTCAGCTCCTGCCGCTCCCAGGGATGGATGTTAGTCCTTTTCTGGGTGCAGCAAGGACTCTTCTGGAGCACCCCGCTAGGAGCAGAGCCCAGAGCACACGAGTTTCCCCACAGCATGATTCACAACCCCCCCAATGCCAATCACCTCAGTGTCCAATAAGAGAGCGGTTTAGTACACGTGTGTATAGCTTTCAGCTTTCACATTGTTCACTCACTGGATGCGTAACGTGGAAGTCTGATGACACGGGGAAGTATATATGCGTCCTCAGACAAGCCTGGGATTGGGAGTCTCGGGTCCTGGATTCAAATCTCAGCACTGCCAATCACTAGTCATGAGAATTTGATCAGTGACCTCGCCTCTCTGAGCCCTGTTCCCTCACCTGCGGAAGAGGGGTCACCAAGCCTCCTAGAGCTGTGTGAGTATTACGGACTATGCCTTCTCCGGTGTGCGAGCCTCTTTGGAGGGCACCCCTATTCTCAAAATGGACCCGATCGTCTTCCCGGGCTGCCCAGGGTCTCTGGTGGCCCCCGGCCTTTGCAGATGCTACTCCCCCTGCCCAGGACCCTCGCATGCTTTTGCTCCTCTTTCAGAGGCCAGTTCCATGTCACATATTCTGGGAAGCCTCCTTAATGTAGGAGGCAGGGCTGTCTGCACACCTCAAATTCATGAGGTATCCTGTGGGGAGATAAGTTGTTTTATTTGTTTTTAATTTTCAAATCTAACATTCATTCAGAAATGGGCACATGTCGTAAGTGAACAGCTTGATAAATTTTCACAAATGGAACCAACTTGGAACCAATACCCAGATTTAAAGGATACATGCTACCCAGCCCCCCCGAGAGCCTCCTTGTGCCCGCACCTGGCACTAACCCACACCCGAAGGTCATTACTCTCCTGACTTGTAACTTGGCCTTGTCCTTCACAGAGACGGAATCGCACAGTAAGTGTTCTTTGTGTCTGGCTCCAGTGTTGAACTGTGTCCACGAGAGCCAGCCTGTCGCTGCATGAATTGTAGAGCTGCCACTTTTCAGAGCTGTGTAGTGCTCCAGGTGTGACTGCCCCCCGGGTTTTCACTTTGCTGCTGGTGATGGGCAGTTCCCGACTGGACACTGTTATGAGTCTTGCTGCTGCGAACACTCTGGGATGTGGCCTTTCTGTCCTTGGGTGCGCACGCGCACGCGCGCGCGCGCGCACGTGTGTGTACACACACACACACACACACACACACACACACACACTCTCTGCTGGGTGTAACCTGGGAATACCACTGCTTGGTCGAGGGGCACACTGAGTATGCCCGTGAGTGTCACCCCACTGCTCCGCGGCTTCGCCTGCATCAGTTTCCCGTTTGTTTGCTTTTTAAATGAATGTATAGTCCCAACAGACAGTAACCACTGACTGGTGGCAGCCATGTATTCCTACACAAAGAGGCCCCTGCAAGCCCGCTGCTGGAGGACTCGGTCTGCCTCTCCTGATTGGCAGTCCCTGGCTTGGGACACACCTGGGGTCAGTCACCACCTGCAGACCCTCGGGAGGCTTACGCACGCAGGGTGGCCGAGGGCAGAAAACTAGCAGCAGACAGGGTGTGCAAAGCTCTGCTCACGGGCCATGCCCCGTAGGGAGTTCCCCGGGTGGACACCCCCTTGTTCTCTCACCCAAAAGGCGCCTCCGACCTTCGGGAGCCCAGCTGCCCGGGTCCACCCCCGCCCTTTCTGCAGGGTCGGGCGGAGCTAACTAACCTTTGATACGCAGCCCGCCCCTCCGGCCCGCGGGTTGGGGGGAGGGGATCAGGTTTCGCCGGTGCAGGGGGGTGAGGGATGGTGGGGTGGGGTGCCTCCCGTCCGAATGCGCCTTCCTCCTCGGGGCCCACCAGGGAGAAGTTTGGGGTCCTTGGTCCCAGCCTGAGCCGTGTCCTGCGCACCC